CTCTTAATATTCAGCATTAATATACATTAACGGTGTGCTGTATACCTCTGTACTTTCATGAGGTGAAATAAAATGTCAATCATCAAACTGCCATTAGCAAATGAAAATTTGGGAAACCCCTCTGGCTTTGCCACTGTCTGCAGATGATGAGGTTGTGGGAAGTGACAGCATCTGAAGGAATATTCTGTTTAAAGATACACAACAATAGTATACTAATATAAGTGTTGAGGTGATAAAAACACAAAAATGCTTTGCGCCCAAATTACAATGTGTGATATGTCTTTACCAAGCACAAACACAATAGTCTCCACTTTAGATTGGGTACGGCAAAAACATGAAGAAATGATTAATAAATTATTAATCTGTGATTTTATTCAGAATTGTTTTCCTCCAATCCAAATTATTAAACTCTGTCAATAAAACTCACTGTGCAGTCTTAGCTCTGTATCTTCATCCAGAGACCCAATAACGGAAGCATTGCGATGTTCATCACATCGCCAAACAACCTTCCAATATGTCCGTAGAAATGTGTTTTGCATTAGATGTAAGTAGATTAAAACAGTGGTCAGTAACACACCAACTGTATGCAAGTTCATCATTTGTACTTTGGGGTTACTTTTGACAGTAAAAATGAGCACACTTTAGTTCACCTTTATTTATATAGTGCTTTATACATTTACATTACATTTACATTTAGTCATTTAGCAGATGCTTTTATCCAAAGCAACTTACAAATGAGGACAATGGAAGCAATCAAAATCAACAAGAAAGCAATGATATGCAAGTGCTATAACAAGTCTCAGTTAGCTTAATGCAGTACACGTAGCAAGTTGTTTTTAATTATATAATAAATACAAATAAAACATAGAATAGAAAAATAATAGAGCAAGCTTTTTTAAGAATATTGTGCCTCTTTGAGATGGCACAATAATACGCCGTTCACTTGCAGAACGCAAGGTTCTAGAGGGCACATAACTCTGAAGTAATGAATTTAGGTAAATGGGTGCAGAGCCAGTGGTGGTTTTGTAGGCAAACATTAATGCCTTGAATTTAATGCGAGCAGCTATTGGTAGCTAGTGCAAATTGATAAACATAGGTGTGACATGCGTTCTTTCCGGCTCATTTAAAATTATTCTTGCTGCCGTGTTCTGAATTAATTGTAAAGGTTTGATAGAACTGGCTGGAAGACCTGCCAAGAGAGCATTGCAATACTCCAGCCTGGATAGAACAAGAGCTTGAACAAGGAGTTGTGTTGCATGTTCTGAAAG